AGATATAGTTGGGACCCAAATTCTCATTAACAAAATATAAAATATTTCTTTGGAAATTTAAGCAGGGAACTCCGAGATCCTCCCTTAAGAGATAGAAAAAAATATAAAACTCTTTCTTACAGTAATAGGTGTGATGAAAATTTCATCACAACTCTCATTAGCAAAATTATAAATTTCGATATCCATATGGCAGTGAACCAATTTTATTTTCTAGTTTAATTTCCTTTTTATAACAATGACTCGATGCGAATTTATTATCTTCTATTGTATATATTGATTGTTTCTTGCTCCTAATCAAATTCATTCTTCTATATTGAATTTTCTCATCTAACACACATTTCTTATAGTCATCAAAAGTAATTCTATTGTTATCTACACATCTTATCATATCTTTTTCTCTTTGGTTTTATTTACCCTTAACTCTATATGGATACATATTTGCTCGTAAACCAACAATTTTTTAAAATTATATTGCCATTACATTCATATTTTATTTTACCTAAAACGTTTTTATTATTTTGAGGCATGTTATAAATATCGCTTTTTGGATAATCACTTGTATCAAATTTTTCTGACATCGAATTCATGTCTTCATAAAAAACATTCTGTTTTAATGTTATATAAATATGATTTGGTATCTGAAGGCACAGTTCAATTTTATCACCACATTTCACTTTCATAACTTTAAAATGGTAATCATGCATCAATTCTTTCGATATGTCTACAATTGACATACCTATATAAATATTCTTATTAAATTTTACATAAGTTTTATTCATGTGGATGGCTGCAAGATTCTCATTAAATATAGTACTTCTATTGAAATTGTGTTTAACAACTAAATTCTTGCAAATTTTGCACTTGAAACCAGCTTTATATCTACTCTGTGTCTGATATTTTCCATTGTTTTACCAAATGCAGAATTATTCATCAGTTTGTAAAAAACTTTTTCAAAATCATTTTTTGCATTAGTCCTCATCGATGTATTAAAATCTATATACTTTTTTTTTTAACCAATCAGACTGATTAAACTTCAATATTCTATTAATTTTGGTAATATTCAACCCATTACTTAAGTATTGTTTCAAACTACGATAATGTAGTACATATTTCTCTTTTTTATGTAAAGTTGTTTATAGTTTAGATTCATTTGTTCCTTGAACTTACTTATTTTCTGGACAAAATGAAAGATCATTGTGTAAATTATATAGCTCTTGTGGATACTCAAAATCAACTTCTACTAGGAATCATCTTTCAAATTTAATTTTCCACTCCAGTAGTCTAAATAATATAATGTATAATAAACCCAGTCAATACAACCATATGGTAAATATTGTAACATTGGCCAACCATATAAATTATTCGCATAGAGGTAAGCAAAATAATCTGATTCTTGATTTGATTTGAAATCTTCCAAATATTAGTTATTTTCTTTAAGATATGGATTACAAGAATGTGAAATTCCACATCTTATACCTTTTTCTATCATAAAAATCATTTCGTAATCTTGTAATAAATCAAGTGGTTGTTTAGTCATTTTTAACATTGCATCCCACATTAAACCTGGTGCTGTGAAATACCATGCATTTATACATGTATCTCTAAAATTTTCAAACACATCTGTCAACTGCAGTACATCAATTTTTTAATATATATATTAAAATTCGCCAGTATATTTTATATTAAATTGATTCAATTTATTTTTTGCATGCACATGATCTTCATCAGATATGTCAGATTTATTTAATTTGCTATAAAAGTCACTCTTTTTGTTGGAATTTAAGTTTCTTAAATTTCTTAAAACTATCCATATAATCGTATGGGTTAACACAGTTCCTGAAAACTAAATGTAAATTACCTTCTGGAAAATATTTTCGTGTATGTTTCATTTGTTCTTTGGTTAAATTAGAAGATAATTTATCTAAACCACTAGACATAAATTTGAACGTATCTATAAATCGCATCTTCAAATTTTCTGTTTTTTTTTTTTTCCTCCCCAAAATTAATAAACTTTTCTTCGTTATTCGCAAGTAAAGATATCTTTTTTTTTTCATCACAACCTAGCTCTTTAGTAAATAAATGAGCATCATAACCACCTAAGTTATGAAAATAAATTGGAACAAAATTGGGCAAATTCAATTGTAGAGTACAATTGTTGCATGTTGGATTAATAAATTTTCCTCTTATGTGATCATGGTGACACACTTTTCTATTATCCTTAGTATATTAAAATTTAAAATCTCTCACATAAATAATATTTGCAATATGATCATATTTATGTAATTTAGGTATTGTATATATATATATATATATATGTATATATATATATATATATATATATATATATATATAATTCTCTACTACCTATCATTCTCAACTTCCACAATCTCTATTCTCTCAGATCACTTATTGAGTTGCTTGTCGACATTTGTAAATAATAAGATATAATAAAATAAAAATTTATGAAGTCGGCGAACACTGAGTTTCACCTAGAAATCTATTGCTGTAATGTGTGATTTACTACTTTTATGCTTTTTTAGAGAATGGTTTTATACATATTTTCCGCATTCGCATTGCACTTTTTTTTTTTACTCACATTATCGTTTAACATTTTTTCCAAGTGTTAAAATGATGATCTATTGCGTTTTTATGATATGCATAAGATTCGATAGGCTTATTCCCATTGCATACAGAACATGTCTTGGTTGAACGATCGCCTTGTAAAGTTTCATATGTTTTGTGTAATTTAGTATTTTTGTACTTTTAGAGATTTACCTTGCAAATGGATCTTCCACGTTCGCATTGAACTTTCTCTTTTTTCTTTAACTCAAAGCGACTTCTATATTATTCATTGTAACATTTTTTACAGGTGTTAGTGTGCTTATCCTTTATGTGTTTATGAGATGCAAAACAGGTTATGTGTTTCACTTCACTGCATTTTTTACATTGCTTGCTTATATAAATATTTTCAGTTTCACTAGAGAGTGGCATTTCCATGTTTCTTTATAAAGAAACAAATTTAATAAAAAAAATTTAAAAATTTGTAACAAATGCTTAAAAACTGTACCTACGAGAATTCTAGATCATGGATAAATTTTCCATTTTTCATTGCTTTTAAACCTTTATACATTATAAAAACTTCTTTCTCATTTATTAGTTTCAAATTATTTTTATCGAGTATCTTGACATAGCGTGCTGCTAATAAAATTTTTAGTTTGCCATTTAGAATACAATTAATTTATTAAATCAAAATTATATTCATAAATTTCAAATTCAGAAGAAGTAAAACATACATTTTTTTTTCTAGATCTTGAAGTTTGGTGAATCCAAGCGAATTGTTCAATTTGTTGAGTAGAGATGCCATGTTTGACTTACAAAGAAAAACATTTATTAAGAATAAGAAGAAAAAAAGTGCTGAAATTTTATCAAGATAAACTGATTTAGCTTGCATATAAGGCTTAAAATATAGATTGCTCAAGGAGCCTGAAGCATGTTGAAAATTGTTTGAAAGCAACCCTGAGCCATTCTTACAACCTGTTAAATATATTTAGCATATAAACGAAGACTTATGTAATTATTCTCGCTATTATAAATATAAACTTTGTGCTGCCCAAAAAATAGAATCACAAAAAATGTGTTATCACCTTTTTAAATCAATATGAATATCTATTTTCACTTATATATTCGCTTTCAAAAATTATTACTGAAACGTACGAAAATTCTTTAAGAATATTTCAAGAATATCACAAACTCTCTTCAATTGATGGTAAACGCATTGAAGAAACTCTTAATTTAATCAATAAGCCAAGATGTGGTGTGCGAGATGATATACTCGGTAGTTACTCAACCACAAACAAATGGAATAAAAAAAACATTTAAATGGGGATTTTGCATATGCAAACAAATTAGTTACAAAGCTAGATGAAGAGGCTTTTAACATTTGGTAAAAACAGACAAATTAGAATTTTGTTTACGATACGAAATTTCCTGACATAGTTATATCTTATAAACAGAAACAATATAGATATCAGAGATTACATGGAATTTGTCCTTATACATTATTTCCACTTGGTAGTGCACTGGCCCATGCACTGAAGCATGGGCCAGTGCACTGAAAATAAAGTTTATTTATTTGTGGTTTTGAACCACGAAATTGGTCATGCACTAGGACTTCAGCATAGATGTTATCTTGTAGTTCATTTTAATAAATAATACAGTTGTGAGTGTGTGGTTCTACATACCCATATACATACACGTATACACATAAAAACATACATCAAAAGAGTGATCGTGTAAATTCACTAATAAGCTTATTTTTATTTAATTTTGTTGCTTAAGCTATTTAATAATTTTACAGGACACATTAAGTTTTGTTTCATATTTTACTTTTTTTTTTATTTTCAAAAGTAAATGCTATATTTTATTATGTAAAGTGGTTAAGTGTAAGAGAAGGTGAAAATACCTTAACTTCGCCACAGAAAATAGAGACGTTTTATTATTATTATTATTACTGGGTTAGCAACTTACTACAGGTCGTGGCTGAATCTATTCCCGCTCCTCTAACCCTCACCAGCTCGCTCCGTTTCTAATGACCTCGTTTTCGAGGAGGCATTACATTCCTACAAAACAATCTTTGTACCAGACGTCCTCATGAAGGGAGCGATCGAGGACGTAAATATTTATTTGTAAATAGTCCCATTAACTATCCTTACTGTTTAGCGAAAGTTGTAGTTTAAAATTGTTATTATAATTCTCCAACCCAGATGTGGTTAAGAATATGCAGTTTATTAAATGCCAGAAATTAACTGTGCTATTTGTGATAACGTTTCATAACTGGCAAGTTATTGTACCAAGAAAAGAGCTTCATTCAGTATTCAAGTGATATTTTTGGTTTTATACATAAATACAATGCTTTATAATTAGTAAAATTTGTAATTCAATACGTGTTTAAGCTCTTGGTATAAACAATTTTGGCACGAGGAGAAAAACATCAATTGCAATACCCCTGGTGGGTTTCGAACCCAGAGGCCCCGGTTTAGAGGACCGATGTCTTATCCATTAGTCCTCAGGGGCTACTGTGTACAAATGTCAATGGGTTTTCCGTATACATATTCACTGTGAAGAGTGCTTTTGAGATCCTAGTTACTTTTTTCTTTCAACTATTTCTTATCCTTTAACAACCTTTTAAAATGAAATAATATTGACAGTGTGTATATTCCAACACAGTCGGAATTTAAAATGTAAGGCGAAAATAAAATATATTATTTATTTATTATTCCAAATGAGAGCTTTTTCAAAAGTAACTGGATCCATTTCATTTGGCCAACCGTCACATTGTCGCGATTCCCAAAACATGGACGCTGTAATTGATCTTGTATCAACGTGCATTTTATTTACAGCAGTGTAATAAATAAAAAATTAAAAAAAAAAGCTGCGCTCATAAACGAAGAATGATTATATGCGTAGCACGAAATTCGGTATTGACCTACTGCAATTTTGTTACATAAACGTCAGGCTGCATTTCAGTATTTATATATTATATACAAGTGAGAAGTGGCATTATTGTGTTGTCATTTCCTTATACATAACTGATATTCTGATACTGATAAGGCAGCAGAGTACTCTTATGTCTTATGAGTGTCTGGCATGCAACGTAAGTAGCAAACAAAAGTTTAACAAAGTTAACCGTCCTTATGATACTAATACTTTGCTTAGAGAGGTGCTTATCCGTGTACACAATAGTAGATTTATACTCAATCATGCGGTTTCTAACTCGAGTGCATGTTACTGTGTTATGTTGTCGATATGCGTATGTCAACTGCGTCCTAACCTTCGTCGCTGTTTCAAAAATTTTAAAATTTGGGATAGTGATAATACATATATAACTATTTTTCTAATATTAATGATAGAAACTTAAAATAATGATGAAAAAGGAAGGCAAAACGATCTAGAAACAATTTCCGGTAGAGATCAAAAGTACGATACTCATAAAGTAAGTCAGGCACAGGCCTATTACTGCACGACTAAAGTGACATGACTTCTTTAATAAATACGGAAAATAGCAGAAAACGAAATTTGAATTCAGTATGAATCTTGATGCCATTCAAATACGCATATATATATATATATATATATATATATATATATATATATATATATATATATATATTCGTGAATTAATTATTTAGGAAAATTGTGGTTGCTTGTTTGTAACTAGTGCTATATAACAGCATCGCACTGGGGATATAGACAATAATAAATTGTCAATGTCAAAGATTATCTTTCGAAGTCAAAGTCAACATGTCAGTCGACATACCGAGGTCGACATACCGACGTCAACATACCGACGTCGACGTACCGAGGTCGATATCGTCGAGAGCACAGTTAGTATCGTCGAGACCGACATATTGAACTTTGGTCGATATGTGACAGATGTCGACAATCGAAATCAAATACTAGATGTCGCACAGCCCTAGTCCCAACTTAGTTTGATCACTCTCTCCCTCTTGCACATTCAAAGCGAACTGAGATGAACAACCACTCTGAATATGATGTATTGTTTCTCTGCATGGAAAGGTAATAAATGATGGAAAAGTTTGCAAATAAATTTAGAATGTTCCCTTTTTCTTTTTCATTCAATGATTGCGATTTTGCAGCCATTTATTTGTTCACAACTTAACTATACCAAAACCTAACGTTTCTTAACGTTGTGTGCCATTAGAAATTTTGTTACTATTTCACACAACGCGATCGTAATAATTATGCTAAAACGGTAATATATCACTGCTGGATAAGCAAGAGATATAATATAACGGAGAAAAGAGAATTTTAAATGTCACTTCTCAAACGTCACAAATTTAATTTTGCTATATAATTTTGCCACGGCTAGCTTCGGAACCCTTCAATAGTGAGAAAAAGAAGATCAATTCCTCATTTAAGTGTAGGTAATACTACCTCACGTAAATTAGACATAGAGATCATCAATAGGACAAAAAACCTAATATACAATACATCCAAAAATAATGACATAATTAATAACCCTTCTTTAAATTACCAACTACAAGGACTAGAATGAGGGGAATTAGTTATGAAATTTCCATTAATATCAGAAAGAACAAATTAGTGTGTTCTCTTTATCAAATCTTCATATGAACAAAGTGGCATGTATTCACAATCCAAGTCACATTCAAAAGCAACATTTTTACTAAAAGAAACAGTTAAGAGACGACACGACTTGTTGAAGATTAAATTAAAAATAATAATTTACCTGACATAGTGAGAGGAAAGAAATTTAACTTTCGATTGGCCTTTAATTAGATATACGGCCATATAGAACCTTGAATGGAATACCGCCTAGGGATGACGATGGTCCTCCTTCGGTGTCCGTTGATCAACTGAGCTCTCTGCTCGAACACTGGTCCCTGGAATTCCGCAGTGGCTCGAAGTGTTGGTAGACCATTACACTCCAGACGCAATGATGGATCATTAGCAGTGGCATACGATCGTCCTTCATCGGGTCATCATCAGTTCCTGGATTGAAGTCATTTCTTAGCAGTCCTTCATTGATTCTTATACTGTCCAATTTTAATATCGACAAATGAGATCATAACCATTACTTCTATAAATCAGGGCTGGACAGCAGAACAAAAAAAAAACTATTATCTTGTCAACTTTCCAACATCCGTTTGGCCGACTCCTCAATATTATATTTGCCCTTCCGAAGATGAATAATAATATTCCTAATAAAACAAAACAAGAACTGATCAAAATGAAATTTGTCATTAGAAGTGTCATCTCTTAACGTTTGCAATACATTTCCAAGTTCATAGAGATTAGCATAAACGTCTCTGCATCAACAATAAATAATATGGGAAACGTAACAGTTTCGTTAGAATACAGAGTCCATCCTGATAATCATCTTTACACACCCCGCTATAATATTTTTTAAAGCATAAAGAATTTCAATAAATTACTAGCTTATCCTATCTAAAACAACAAAACAAGTACACAAAATATTTACAAATTACCAGATGTTACAATAAGTATGACAAATTTGAGGTTAGCCATTAAAACAATGTGGCCACTACACAGGACGTGAAAGTTAGCAACTATTTTATTACTGTCGTTCACTTTAAAAGTCATTACACAATAGAGAAATTAAGCATTATAACGTTACATGTCCTTTCCTTTAAAGAAACCACCGATACACAATACAAATGTAAAGTCGGAGTTCAGACAATTTAAAATCGGTTCTGCAATCGATGAAAATGTTTATCTTGTTATGTAAATCATTATTTATTATCAATGAATGCATTTCACGTACCTGTTTTTAAATAAGCTTAAGCTTTGGTATTAAAATTGTATTACAAAACCAAAACCTGGCTTGTTTACTTTATCCATTACTATCAACTCGCATATTTTCTCTTCGCGTTACTTTGCTTGTTATTTATTTAATTTTGATGAGTTTGGTTTGATATTCCGAGACGAAAATCGCCCTACAGTGAATAAATATTCATCCAGTAAAACTCAGTTGGATTCTCTGCAAAATGGATGCTTGACTTTGACTTTAAGTTTAAACATTACGAAATCGGGTATTCAAGAGCGCTTAACTTTATCTTTGACAGATCCAATGTGTCAAGCTCCATAGGAAACAACGTTTCGGAAAGCCAACATAATGTCAATTCGTAAAGTCAAATGTTACAAGTTTTCAAATGTTTAAGGGCCTTAACTTCGCTTTCAAATGTGACTTCACAGTCTAGCGAACGTATTTTGGACGACGAACACCATCAGGCCGTGTTATTAACTACTTGGAAAAAGAAAAAAACTTTACGATCGGTAATATATATATATATATATAATGTAGGCAGGCGAAAAACGGCATTTAAAAACTCATACTTCAGAGCAAGAGATTTCTTTGTAAATTTCACTAGCACGTTTATACAAGATCTTGCTTTCATTTTATATTTGTGTCTGAAAAGGTAACCCAAAAATCACGGACCCTGTACTGAATTTTACTCTCATTGCAGAAGTAAATAACTGCAACTTTATGATCATTCATAGCCAGGTCGGCTTACAATTGTCCTTTTCTTACATCATTTTATTTCTCGTGGTTCGCCACTTCGAGACAAAGCATTGTAAATTCGTACACCTTCCGTCGTTTCGTTCTTGTCATGACATCCAACGTCCATAGGAATGGAGAAACCATGATTTCTTACTTCCTTCATTGTCGCCGTCGAACACTGACAAAAGCAGTCTCACGACATTCACGCAATGTTCTTGGCGCGGAAGGTTGACGTCAGCCAGCTGATTTTGACTCAAAACGCTTACAGCTGATCGTACAGCGGGAGCACAATGAAACTTTTGTAGAGTAACAATGTTAACATCCAGCCCGGCTAGCTCAGGCAAAGGAAGCGCTCTCAACTCTAGTAGAACACTTACCGGAAGGGACAGTCGCATCAGCGAGATATTTGTACATTCGGGCTTCCAAACCCCATCCGCTGGAGGCGCCCATGGAAAATACTTGCCGATCCTAACCTCTCCTCGGATCTTCGAGTTGCAGCATTCGGCTTCTACAATAATGTCGTGACAACTCAGCAGCGTAAATATAGTATTCACCTGACAGCTGACCCTGCATGCCCGCTGTGTGGCAACACCGACACGGCCCTTCATAGGGTAATTTCCTGTGTTTATGCAGCTCGCATCTGGCAGTGGTGTCGCGTACGAGTACGAATAATATTTCGCGATGAACGTGGAGATGTCAGCGACACGCACATGCTTCATTGCGATTTCTTCACCTTCCCCTCAGTTCGACGAAGAGCTGCGGCCTGGTATATACTTCATGCGATCGGTTTTTGGTGGACCATTCGAAACCGGTGACAGTTCAAGACTTTGTCCAGCTTCTTCGTCAACATAGGTGGAACATGGCGTGGCGTGGCACATTGCGTCAGTGGTAGGGCAATTTTTTTATTTTCATTCTGACGTTCACGCCTACAGGAAGTGCGTGTATATTACCGAGGTTGGATGTACGTCGTGCGCTGCCCCTCACGTTAATTAATTTTTTATGTGTTCGACTT